GGAAATTAGAAAAGAGGAAGGAAGAAATGAATAGAGGTGATTTTCGTAGATGAAAAAGAAATCAAAAGTTGCGTCTTTCTTTCACTGCAGTTTGCCCGCTACTGCCAAATCTAAATTAATAGGATCCTGAAAGACGTGCAAATAATAAACCGGTACCTAAGCTGTACAAAATCCACTGGATCTTCGGCAAACAGAATTCACAGTACACAAATCCTTTGGAGAATTATTTATAACAAAAATCATCAGAAAGAAAAATGAAAAGATTCAAAGCAAAACAACAGCGTCTGAAATAAGTGTACTTATAAAAAATAACAATTTATCAAGAAGTATTAATTATTAGCTGAACAAAGAAAAAAGATAACGCTGACTTCAGAACGCAAAAGTTAGACTGTATAGAATCATTAGAACTGAAAGCCCTCCAGATGTCCCGTTATTATACGTAGAAATTGAGTACACGGTAATACCGGCCTGTATGCACAACAACGACAACTTGCCGGAAGAAACTAGTGCTGGATTCCCGATGATTACTGGAGTGAATGATACTTCAGCGTGTAAAACATAACGTAGAGGACAAGAGGAGAAATAGGACAGACTGGTGCTGGCTTCGAAGAAGTGCCGCCAACATTATCAAAGAGCACTGCAAGGCAGATGAATTCGCCAATAAATCCCAGAGACAGATAAAGCCGAATAATTTTCAGAGAACCCGAAGCACGTCAGCGGTGCCGACTCATTTTCGGATCACCCACATCGAGCTATAGTGCCTTACACCACTCGCACAACCCGTGCCTCAACTCAGCCCTGTGCAATTCCTCTAACAAAGGTGTTACACGTACAATGATAACTCTATAGAGAGTATCTAGGCCCACCTGCGGACTGCGTTTAATTTTTCTTCCCAAGTCAGTAATTTCTTTAAATGGGAAATGCTTTTCTCATCATTTTTATTTACTTTTTTCCCCTTGGCAAAATAACATATTTTGTAATTTATTTTGCCAAATTAGCCCCATAAATTTGTCATTTTTACACGTGAAATGTGCTCGCCACTGGTGCTTCGCCACAAAGATTTCATGTCGGTGAAGAGAGACACAACCAGATCTTGAAAAGATAACAACAAACTGAAACGATACTAACATTCACTTTATTATTAAATTATCAAATTTCAGCGTTCAACCTGTAAATTATACACATCATATTCTGTCTATAGCATGACTGTTAATATGATGTTACATAAGTAAAACATAACAACATCGATCGTACACGCCCGTCGAATATGCTGAGTGCTAAAACTGCGTGAAAATGATTTTTACCTTTTTTACGACTAATGCTATAAAAAGGCAGCGGCGTCTGCCAATTAATAAAGGCAATAAAATTTGCTTTTTTAAAGCTCCCAGCTTATGGAACTCGATGTACTCTCGAAGGCCTAAGC